GCAGGACGGATTGGTATAGCAATGCCGCCAATCATATCCTTTACAAATCAATATTTCACAAATCTCATGTGACAGTACCTTATATGTCTTTTCCTTGACCTTGATGGAAAACGTCATGAGTTGAGGTGTGTGTGTGTGTGTGCGTGTGTGTGTGTGTGTGTGTGAGAGAGAGAGAGAGAGAGAGAGAAAGAGGGGAGAGGGAGTGAGGTAGATACTGGTAAAGAGAGACAGAGTGTGTTATTGGTTACTGTTATTGCCACTTGTTATGGTTCTGTGCATTGACGGCATTCATTGCCTCAATAGCTCTTTTTTATTCTGACTCTGCACTGTGGTGTACCTGGGTCAGATATGTGACCAAAAATCTTATTTTTTATTTTCAAAAGTGAAACAATAAGCAACCCTTTTTAAAATTCATTGATTTGCATTTGTTTGAAAACTGTCATTACCAAAAGCTAAGAAATGTTCTAAACAGGCTGCTGAAAAATTCTGCCCCATCTACAATTACTGGTTTTAAAATCCAGCCCATTTGGATTTGTAATTGATTAGCTCTGCTGTAAATGAACATAATTACTTCATCATGCATCCGACTGCAACATTTCAAAAGAGGATATGTGACACACATTTGCACATTTTAAAGGCAATTCTGCCAACTATATGATTATAATTATATAATTGTCCACTTATTTCTCATGTTAAGTTTCAAGCTGATACAGTAGGATGAATAAAATGTTTTTGTACTAATTACTTAAGGAGCCTTAAACTGTATGTTATGTAAAAATACTTGTGTTCAAAGCGACTAGATGTGCCATGTTTTGCAGTAGTTAGTGTTGGTGAGTATGGAGAGTGGACCAGATCAGGGTAGAGGTTAGTGCTGGTTACTCACCTCCACCGCCCTCTTTTCATGGAGAGCACATCTGAAATTCCAACATTGACATGTGAAATACAGACAGCAACTCCTATGGCCTCACAGCGCTGCACAGGGTGCTGCTCCTCCCAGCCCTAAACATAGACCAGCCACAACCATGGAACAGTTTTACCGTCACAATGGTCATTTTGGTTTATCAAATAACATGTAATAAGGTTGATCTAACCACTGGTAGGTGCTTGGTTGTAACCTGTTGCTTAGAGAGAAAGTGGTGTTTACTGGTCACTGATGGTTTTATACAGAAATATGTGATTTCATTTTCACGTTTCTTCCTACGTATTCTAATAAAGAAATTCAAACACTTTTTCCTTCTTCTTTTGTCTGAATGAGAGCATTTGTTTTACAGATCAGTGTTAAAGGCTCAGATGTAAATAGGCCACAGGAAGATTTGTGTGTTAAACTCTCACTTTAATTCAGTTTTTACTACTACAGTACAGTACAGTAACACAGTGTGTATACTTTTTAGTGTTCCTATGTGTGTGTAATTGTTCACTTACTGTATGTGTGTGTATATGTGTGTGTGTTGATTGTGGAGGTAAAGACGGTGAAGTGGCCGGGCCCATGTATGTGGACAATATACAGTATGCATCATAGTAATAATCCCCCTCTCCAGCCCAGTCACAAGCCAAGTATGAAGTGCTACTGCCTGGTAGCACAAAGCACAATGTGAAGCTCATGTGACTGTATTAACCTTTCAGACCTAATCTCTTGCAGTCACGAATGAGAGAAAGCAAGAGAGAAGGAGAGAAAGAGAGAGAAACTTTAAAGTTAGAGAGATTTCAAAGGAATGTGACAAAGTAAGCAGAGAAGAAAACAGTTCAGATATGTTTTGTTGCTCCTCTGAAGCCCTCAAGACTCGGTTTCTATCTACGGTTTGTTTTGAGACGGAGAACAGAGACTCTTGATATGCAGAAGTGCAGATTTGGCACTGAATTGTCAAATAAATCGAATTGAAGCAGAGATCACTGTGCAACAACCCCCGTGGCTTCAAACGCAACACAAAGACCACAGAGAATAACACTGACATGTTCTTATACCAACACTGACAGCAGAAAAGTCTCTATTATTTCCGTAGCTAGTTTTATAGCTTGGAGCAGACTGTCAGTGTTCCTGCCTAGGGGCCAGCAGGATGATAAGCTTGTAGGTCTCGGATTCACATTGGTTCCATGACACAGGTTTATAGTTTTGTCACGCTGGTATTTTGGCATGAGAGTTAGTGGAGCCTTTGGTCAGGATCAGCTGATTTCATTGAAAGGAGAGTTACATTAAAGCCTCCCAGAGGGGCTACTATTATTGGGCAGATCACAGGGAAACAATGTATGACCTCTCAAAGGCATATTATTTTTCTCAACTGGGAGGGAGAAAGTGGAGGACAGACAGATATCAAACAGAACTGATGTCTTTACCAGGAGAAAAAGAATGTGAATTTCACATTTCCTGCAACATTAACTTCCTTAAACACATTTGCTTTGGTAAATGGCTGGGTAGGTTTCCCACGACCCAGCCATCAATGAATAGAGCTACATATACTGAATGCTTTATCTGTGTTGCTGGAAATGATGGTACAACATATTTAAAATGGCAATATCAGAATTGAATCAAGCAGCTGAATATTAAGTGTAAAGATAGATGGTGCAAAATTCACCACATTATGACTCAGTGGGCCTCACGCAGGAACATTCTCTTTGATATTTTTCTGATATTTTCTCTTAATTTTTCGTTAAGACAAAAAATAAGAGAAGCCAACTCCAGATGGACCAAACCTTCTTAACCATCCAAATCTGCTCTTAACCAGGTGTGCTGAATGACGAATCCCACTTGATCATAAGTAACCTATTAGCCCCCTTAAACACTACACAAGGGCTGGCGTTGTGCGATGTGCAAATACTCTAGCTCATGCCAAAGTATTGAGGAGATGCCTCAAAAAGGCTGTAAGAAGAACTTAAGTAGTGAAATCAATGTGCCTTTAAGTAAACATAAACAAAGTTTATCAAAGAGAGTTGTGTGATCTCTAAAAATGTGTTCTCTGCATACGGCTTGGATGGCCAAAGCATCTAAGAGCAGTATGTAAGCCAATCAGAAGCTGACAGATGCATCCAAGGGTGTTTATAGTCTTAATTGGGATTGCTGGACCAATATTATTTTTTAAACCTATGAAAAATTTAATCTGATAATCCCATCCTTATTCTAAAATATATAATAATCCCAATTTGACAATATTATATGCATGCATGTTCCTCAAATTAAAAACTTGTGTGTGTACCTTGGTAAGAGTGGTCGCAGCCACTTGTACAATTTTCTAAAAGAAGAATGAAAATGAGAAAACATCAGTGAATCCCATAAATCAATGGGTACTAACAAAATAACAAATTTAAGATTTGATCAAGAATATGAGGAAGTATGATATCTATATTACTTCCTGCACGAGGCACAATAACTTGGGCACTTTATATCCAATAGTAAAGTAAACTGGGAAGATTTCAACGTCACAGATTTGTCTTTACTCAGGAATTATGCTCCAATTTTAAACCAACCTGAAAGACACAATATAACTTTCTCAATATGTAAGTTTTGTCAAGTGACTCTAAACAACACTAAACAGCCATGCTAGGCTGATGCCATTGGGCCCAAAATGACTTTTTCCCATAGATTTACACTGGGAGGGAGATGTCTGTAAATTAGCAGATACATTTTTTTTTAACTTAACAATCCCTGCAAAATGATTTATTTCACTATCGTGATGTGATCAATTTGGCCCGATAATAATTTTATCCCCATTCAAGAGTTTTAGCCACTAGGCTGGTGAAGTTTCTAGTGTTCTTGCTCTGTGGGCCCCATGATGTGGAAGACCGGGTACCCAGGAATTCGAACTTTCTTTCCCTTGTGCACCACTGAACGATTTTCATAAGAATGAACGGGGCCCTGCCTCCAGTGCCTAATCAGTTGTCTTTAGACATCCATGATCCATGAGAAGGGGAGTAGAATTCTGTCTGAAGTAGACAGTCAATGGCAAGCTAATAAGTACAGTTTACACCCTGTGACTCAGGATGGACCAATGTGGTGGACAGAGATCCACAAAGCTAGCTTTACAACAAACTCAGCAACTCCCCAGCCCCTACAACCTCCATTATACGGCACTCAGTTTCATACATGGCAGCATTTGCAGAGAAAATTTAAACACTTCAGTCCAAGTGCTTTTTGTGTACTCTTGGGATGTGTCATCGATGCTAACCTGGATATGAATATAAATAAACTGCTGCAGAAAAACTCAACTGGGGATTCTTCATTGCCTCTAGCAATACACCGCAGCTGACACTGTACATTTACAGATGGATCTCAATTAATGTAACATCAGCTTCCAATTTCAGTGTATCCCTATACTAACCATGCCATTGTGAGACCGAACAGGCACACGCCAGACATCCATGTAACATAGACACTATTTGTAATGTATTACATAACATGATGGACATGGATGTCTTTGTTAGATAACAGTTAGAAACCACGAGGCATCACTGTTCTAATCCTAGCTATGTACACAAGACTGGTGACATAGAAGTACAGTGTAATAGTAGAAAGAAGAGCCATATAAAGTGATTCATAAAACACCTGCAACACACACAAGGAGAGCCATTTCACATCTTCTGAATGAAAACCTTATTCAAGAGAATAGTACTTTTCGTCAGGTGCATTGTGATATTATTATGAACTTATGCCTGCAGCACTTTTGTTTTACACTCAGATCTATTCTCTGTAGCTCTATGTCAGGCCTTAATGGTAGCATCACTCATGCCCCAATCTCACAGCCCACCTATAATTGCTCCTCCAGAGTTCACTGTGTGTGTGACATGCCGCCCAAATTTCACCACAGCCCTCGCAAGGGTCTCATAAGCATTTAACACTCAAGTGCTACTTTACCCCCAACTCCCATAGAGACACCTGGTGGTACAGAGACACCTCGGGGTGGCAATATTTAACATGGCGATGTTCGTTTTTTCACCCTCCCTCCTTTCAGCGTCACCTGCTAACATCACCCTCCCTGCCTGGGCCCAATTTACTGTCCAACCATCCCGAGTCTACACACTCAGTGTATGTCTTGTGGTGGTGCACACACTCACACTTGACGTTTGAGCAAAGAACAAAAGGAAGTAAAGAGTGTTTTCCTGGGAGAGACTGGGGATTGTTTTGGACTATATTTTTCATGTTTTCTCTGACAACATGGAGTACTGCTTTTTAAAAGGATTCCTGGTGGTTTTGTTGATACAACACTGCACGTCTGAAGGTAGGGTGGCATTATGCAAATAGCTTTGATTATCTATGTGATGATGTCTTTGTATTTGGATGAAAGGAGTAACACCTGCACACTGACTCCAAACCACAATTTTGCTTGATAATATCCAATAGCCTTGCACCTACATGTGATGTGCTGCTGTTTTTGTATTTTGAATCACTGAATAATGACATAATCAACCAACCAATGGCAAAGAAACACAATTTTGCTGTATTCCTCATGGAGTGATCTGCAGTGATTATGTTGACACATATGGCATATATGTGTATATGTGTCATATATTGGTTGGTTTACTTACAGCTGCTACAAAAGACCCAAAATATTTGATATATCTCCTTAGGTCTGTCTACCTCCATCCAGTCCTCCACAGCGGTCACCCTGCAAGATGACCAGGCCTTACCCCCTGAACCAGAGCTGCTTCCTGCAGATGTGGTACCCGTGGTGGCCCCCCCTAGCCTGAAGGAGGTGCAGCAGGCCGTGCAGGAGGCCTCAGAGCAGGTGGAAGGTCGTGGGGCAGAGGAAGTGTTGAAGGAGCTGCTGGAGAGGGTGGTGGAGGCAGCTTTGGGGCAGGTGGAAGGAGGAGGTGAAGCGAAAGCAGATGAGGCAGCAGCACAGGAGGCCGCTGAGGAGGATGCCCTCGAAGCTGACGCAGAGGCAGAGGTGTTGGAGCAGGTGGTAGAGGAGGAGGTGGAGGGTGAGGATACGGGCGCCAAGGGGGGAGATACTGATGTTGGAGAGGAGCAGGAGGTAGCTGAGGTGGATGCATCTGAGGATGTAGCTGAGGGGGGCAAAGGGGTTGTCGAAGGGGAGGCTACAGCTGGATCTGTGGTGGAGACTACAGCAGGTGTAGAAACTGAAGACAGAGAGGTGGAGGGGGTGGAGGTTATTGATGAGTCTTTAGACACCCAAGTCAGTCAGGAGGTTGTAGAGGAAACTGGAGCTGCTTTAGAGGAGACAGGGGGGTATTTAGCAGCGGAGGAAGCACAGGCGGAGGACGGCAAGGAGCAGGTTGTGTTGTCAGAAGAAAACGGAGCAGCTGAAACAGAAACACAGGAGGTAGAGGAAACTCCAGGAGTTGTGGAGGCTGCAGTAGAGTCTGACCCTAGCCTGGCAGTGTCTGACGTGGAACAGACAGGAGATCCATGGAAAAATGAAGAAACTATTGTGGATGAAATTGAAGGTGAGGTGATAGTACCCTCTTCTGATAATTATGAAATAGAGAGCACACAAAGTGTAGTGGGAGAACCAGTAGAAGAAGAGGAGGTAAACGTAATGAAGGGTGCTGAAGGATTGGGGGTAGAGGACGAACAAGGCTATTTAGTGGTGGAGGGAGGAGCTGCTGGAGAGGTAGAAGCAGAAGGTACAATAGTGGGGGAAGCAGAAGGGGGTGAAAGACACAGAGAGGGTGTAGGCAAGGAGGAATCAGTGGCATTGGTAAATGAGGGGGGTGACCACCAAGCTGGAGAAGAGGATCACATTGCTCCGGAGACCTCACACAGCAGTGAAAAGGAGGATCAAGGTGAGATATGTGCTTGTGCAATAGAATTAAAAGCTGGCACAAAGAAATTAGGCTTCAGCGTGGTGGCTTGACTGGCACCATGCCCCATTCAGCATACAAACAAAGTCAAAATTTCCCAGCAAATCTTCTCGTCGACTTTCTTCCCATTAGCTTCATGTTGTAGCCGCCCCATTCACTTTACTTCCAGTACATCCTCATCAGATAACTATCTGAGATGTTGAATATGTAAAACCTCTTCATAATTTAGGTCACACAAACCTAAAACTGCAATGGTATTTGTCTTTAAACATTCAGTTGCATTAGACTCAGCAGCTTTGGTTAAGCTCGCATTGTTTGCATCTTAACCTACTTTAAGAGAGGAAAGCTCTTAAATGAAGATTATAAACCCCCTTTAATGCACTTTACAATAATATTGGTTACCAGCCCGTGTCCTGAAAAACCGTGGTAAAAAAAATCCCGAGCTGCTCTGGTTTTGAAATGTTATCAACAAGCTTTTTGGTAGAAGGAGCTTGAGAAAATGTTTACTCAGAAAATCCTGACATAGACATTAATCATTTATCAGTAGAAACTTCTAAAATTCTCTTCAAGCCCAGTGATTATTGTGACACATGCAAAGACTGATATGTTATTCTGCACTGTAAACATACTGTGAGTAAGCTTACAAATGCATCCAAATCATGAACCAACTTCCAATCTTAGCTGCAGCACATCCATACATTATTCTACATTCCATAGGTCCACTCGATAAACCCTAAACCTTGACCTCTTTGCTTCATTTTCATGTGTGTGTCACATACCAAACCCCTCTTCTAGAAGTGCTGGTGATCTCTGCCCCAGAGCCAGAGGACAGTGATGAAGTCTCCATAGAGCAGATCCCTGAGATTCAGGTGCCCACCCCCAGCCCATCCCTTGGTGGGGTGGAGGCCAGAGAAAACACCCTCGGTGATGAGAAATCCAGCGATGGCAATGAGATCATCACGCCTACTGATGACCTTTTGCCACATGACCCTGTCGTGGCCCAACCTACACTGGATAATTTTGTGAAGGATGGTCTCGCTGAAGCGCCTCAGGCAGAAGGGGAGAAACTAGGGGAGGCCAATGAGCTGGTGGAAGATACAGCTGGAAACACAGGTAAAATGTAAAGTAGAAAAGATATCCAAATATCAAAGAAAAATACAATATATTACATATTTCTTTTCCACTAACATGGAACAGGTTCGGTTTCAGTTTCAAATTTTGAACTGTTCAGAGCCAAAAAAAAAAAAATAGGTTCAGAAAGTTGTTTCCCAGCTGGGACAAAAAAAAACAGCAGGTTTTTCTTAACCTGAAGTGCAAGTCATGAAAATATATAGTCGTGTATCATACTCTACAAGTTGGAAAGAGTCTTGCAAATAGTGTTGTCTTGATGACGTATCCTTGATCTAATTGGTTCTGATCAACACTAGGTGGAACCGCAGGCTGGTTCACTACATAGTGCCAAGATTCCAAGAGTCCTGATTGAAACCAGCTCAAGAACCAAAGCTAATCTGGTGGAGAAGGGGTAATTGTTAACCCCTTGGGCTCATATGTAATTAATTAGCTTTGACCTTAATGTCCCAATTAGGAAAAAATGAGAGGAACTGAACTTAAAGTAATATATACTGTAGTTCTCAAGTGCAGTTTCAGAACTTAGCATATCTGGCTATAAATGGGTCTGTGTATATATTACAGCAGATTTTCTGCAGCTTAAAACTTGGGTAGAATAAAGAAGAAGAAAACAGATCATCATCGTGATTCTGCCAGAAAAATATGCAGATGGCCAAGTTGATGTTGTTCCATTTGAATAAACAGTGGAGCAGGCTTACTACACACCGACTGGTGGGGGAAGACCAGAAAGTTGGGACCATTCCGTCACAATATAATAATGTGCTATTTTCTGCCTCACTAGAACTATGGGTCTATGACCCTATGCATCACACACATGCACCTTTAAGCTGGTGTACTATAAATCGCTGGAAGGAAGATTGTTAAAATGACACGACAGCAGAAAAACAGGTATTTTCTTTTTGTCCTGCTAAACTGTAATAGTGTGAAATAAATAGGGTGTCAGAGTACAGCTTCCATTATGTGCAGTTGAGGGACAGTTGATTGAGTTGTAGCAAAACGTAGTGCATCACATTTCATGTTTTCTCCTCTCCTGCCCTCCCTTTCTTGCTCTCTCTCTCTGCCTTAATGTATCTGTTCAGAGACAAGTGAGCTGGGCCTGGAGGCATGGAAGATTGGGGCTATTTCTGCTGCAGCCTTCCTGGTCTTGGAGACTGTTATCATCATTATCTATATCCTCAAATGTCGTAACAAAAACAGGTAGGTAGCACCGATTTCTGTACACTGAATCTCCAGGAACACTTGGTCAAAAAAAGTTATCCTGAAGGCCATAATTTTCTGACGGACTGAAAGTACAAATCAAATGTCCTTTACCTAATACAGCTCAGCTCCTAGCCAATATTATTTCCTGTAGCCTGCCATCCATAGACATAAATTTGGGAAGGCTGAGCTACATTATACATCCAACAGCCTCGTACAAAAATAGATTTTCATTACAACCCTAATCTGACTGTACTGTAGCGTGATTTTTTGTTCTGGCTCAGTCTTTATAAAACAGACTCTTTTCCTGTATTTACTTTTTATGAATGGTAATCAGAATAATACTTAGTCTGCCTTTGCACTTGTACCAACCATATCACAGTGCTTCTTCTCTAATAGCTGAAATAAGCCATCTGATTGCTAGCTGTAGTACCAACGGCGCTACAATCACAGATGGGACTTACAGCAGTGCTGGTACGTGATTGCTTCTGATGTTGCCCAAGCTGCAGCTAACATTTCCACACTGATAGATGATGACATGAGGAGAATGTGCCCAGTATTGGTTCAGTATTTCTCTCAATAAAAGAGAGAATAGCCTTTTATCTGTAATATGCTGCACTAGTTTTTTTTCTCCACATAGCCTGATGCAGCATGTAGTTGATTTGTAGACGGGTAACAGTCAGCAACAACATTAATATCTGAGATTTTGTGTTTGTTTGTGTACATGTGTGTATGCAGTGCCCCGGCCCTGCAGCGGGCATGTGAGGAAGGGTGTGTTGAACCGGAGGCAGCTACAGGAGGTGACTGCAGTGATGACACACTTCCTGCAGGCAATGGGGACGCTCAACAGTATGTTCACATATATAAACCTCTATCTAACATCTATAGTGGTTACATAAATAATACATACATACATACAGGTAATAAATTAAAGGAAAACCTTTTGCTTTTGCTTCAGTGCTCAGTGACATACATTTTACATGTATTTAGAGGGATAAACACTATTCTTCCAAAAGATATATCCTCTTTTGGTGTTTGATGATGTTGGTAAAGAGCGCTGTCTAACACATCAGTCTAATAGCTCACATTCAATGACCTCTTAAAGGTATACTTCACCCACAAAATGACCATTTGTGTATTAATTACTGACTGCATGTTACCTTGAAGGCAGCGCGGTGGTGCAGTGGTTAGCATTGTATGCTCACAGCAAGAGGGTTCCTGGATCAAACCCAGGATTGGGGGTTTGAAATCCAGGGTGTGGGAGCCCTTCTGTGCTGAGTTTGCATCTTCCACCCATGTCAGCGTGGGTTTTCTCCAGGTACTCCAGCTTCCTCCCACAGTCCAAAGACATGCAGGTTGGGTTTATTGGTGACTCTAATTTGCCTGTAGGTGTAAATGTGAGTGTGAATGGTTGTCTGTCTCTATGGCCCCGTTTATATGACAACGATTTCAACTGAAAATGGTAAACTTTAGTTTTTGGCCGATCATTTACACGACAGCGGCGTTTTGGGTGCCTGAAAATGCAATGATTTGAAAACGGGTTCCAGAGTGCAGCTTTTTGGAAATGGCAGCATCTCCGTTGTCATGTAAACTTGCAATACGCAGTTCCTCTGAAAACGGAGACTTTTCGCACATGCGCATTACAGTTCCAGTCACTAGGCATGCCGACCGTCACAACAACAATGGCGAGCTCTGTTTGTGCTGCTCACCCTGTTGATTTGAAGTGAAGTGTAGATCTTTTACTGTAGCAACTCCACCTCGTCGTTCATCCAGACAAAGTTATCTGTGCATGTTTTCGCCATTGTGTCTTCTTTGTTTTGGTTTGTAATCACCGCGTTGTAGAGGAAGGCGCTTCAGCGCAGGCGCATGGCGTCATGCCGTGATGTTGCTTTGCAAATTTACACTGCCACCCATTGGCCTGGCATGCATACTACGGCGTTTCCAGTAGATTTTGTGGCTCCGTGTGAACGGGGATTGTTTCAATAATGTCGTTATATAAACGCAGAAGTTTTTTTAAAACGCAAAGGACAGACTTTTCCGTTTTTAGAGAAACCGTTGTCGTCTAAACAGGGCCTTTGTGTTAGCCCTGTGATAGTCTGGCAACCAGACCACCCAATGTCAGCTGGGATAGGTTCCAGCCCCCCGCGACCCCCGACAGGATAAGTGGTTATGGAAGATGAATGTATGAATGTTACCTTGAATGTGTAAAGAAAACTTGGTTTTTCATGGATGTTTCCAGGTTGAATGGAGAATTCAAGAAAGGTGAAAACTCTTCATGAAAAGTGAAGTAAAAGGAGTTCACATTTGACAACAGCAAAACTATATCAGATCAACAGCTTACAAAATCTAACAACTCATCCAGTATAATCAGAGTCTCATTTATCCAGTCATATGCTCATTGCTTCCCAAACACAAGCATTTTTGCTAAAACCTGACAATATGAAACACTTCCGCTTACGTGTAACATGCCCTCAGTGTGCCTGGGCACTTGGGTGTGTTTGAGTTCTGCTAGCAGAATTCGAACAAATGTGCACACCCAGGCATGCTACTCTCCTGTGCGTGAGACTGTTTGGTGTCTTAAATCGTTTCAGTGAAAGGCAATTGTTTGGGAAGCACTGAGCATACAATTGAGATAAATGAGACTTGGATTATACCACATTAGTTGTATGAGAGTTTGTAAACAGATGCTATTAAATGTGGACCCTGATTTTGTCAATTCACAAAGAATTTTTGCCTTTTTTGAATTCTCCTTTCACAGTGGAGGCACGCGAGAACTAGAATTAATTCCTCGTGGTTGCACACATCCAAAACCCATGAAACTGCAGTTACAGTCTGTGAAAACATGGATGCTTCACACACATCTTCACCCCAGCAGCACAGAAGATCTGTACAATCAGCACAGTTTTAAGATTAGTGTCACCAATTCAGTATTTGACCAAATGTCTTCCCTTCTGTTCCTGAGATATGACATTGACTAATGGACAGAAAACATTATGATTTCAGAGTGAAGGTGACCTTTGACCTTTTGAATATAAAATGTCATCACTTCATCATTATATCCTATTAGACATTTGTGTGAAATTTGGTCATAATTAGTGTTTGAATTCTTGAATTGTGGCCAAAATCGTCTTTTGTGAGGTCACAGTGACCTTGATCTTTGACCTTCAACAACAAAAGTCTAAGTAAGTTCATTGTTGAGTCCAAGTGGATGTTTGTGGCAAATTTGAGAAAATTTCTTCAGGGAGTTCTTGAGATATTGCATTCACAAGAATGAGATAGATGCAAGGTCACAGTGACCTTAACCTTTTGACCACCCAAATCTAATCAGTTCATTCTTGAGTCCAAATGGACAATCACACCAAATTTGAAAAAAATAAAGAAAAAAATGCCTGAAGGTGTTCTTTGGTATCTGGTTCAGGAGAATTAGACATGGGCAGGTTGCAGTGACCTTGACTATTGACCACTAAAAGCTAATAAGCTCATTAGTAAGTCCAAGTAGATGTGAGTGCCAAATTTGAAGAAATTCCCTCAAGGTGGTTCTGAGGTAATGCTTTCACAAGAATGAACAAATGCAAAGTCATGGTAACCTTGACCTTTGGCCACCAAAATCTGATCAGTTCATCCTTGAGTCCAAAGGGACCTTTGTGCTAAATTTGAAAAAAAAAAAAAAAAAAAAAAATCCTTAGGGCGTTCTTCAGATATCGCATTCACAAGAATGAGATTGACAAGGTCACGGTGACCTTGACCTATGACCACCAAATTAGTTGATTAGGAGGAGTTGTTAGGAGGGTTCCTTTGAAATGTTACAGGTTACAGATTACAGTTACCTTGTTAAAAATTGTAATTAGTAATGTAACTATTTAAATTTATTTGTCAGTGTAATGTTACTTATTACATTTGATTACTCTTGGATTACTTTTCTAACAATTGTTTAAGCTGTGTACAGGAGCACTTATTTTATCTTTTCACTTTTGCTGAATATAATAAGGAAACCTAAGGTAGAAATCAGACAAAACATCTGCACACTGATAGCTCCCATATATCTAATAAAGACGAGACAAAGATCTCATTGTCATCTTTCACCAGTCTTTATCACAGACTAAACATAAGGACAAAGATTTCTAAACATTGCTATGCTAGATTTATAGGGGTCCTTTAGTACAGTATATTGGTCTGTTGTCTGATTTAAACCATTTCAAGGTTTCATTTCAAGGTTTATATGATCTCAGTTATATGATCTCTCGGCTCTTCTGTCTCTCTCTTAGAATCAGATTTTCTGCCACCACCAAACTGACTTCTGCAGTATCAGTTTCCTTGTCACTAACACCAGCCGGATGTCAGGCTTGCCCATTGTCAGCCGACTAAATGCTGCTCACTGACCTGAAAATTTGTGGTTCATAGGAACCACCAGTTGTGTGCTTCTCAGCTGATTCCCTCCTGGCTGTTTGGTAAGCTATGTGCTCAGGAGGCTGCTTGCTGGGTCACATGAGAGTGTGAGTCCCGTGAACCCAAAGCATTACTGGGTAATACCGCTATTCTTCCTAATCAGACTAGCAGGCTTGAATCAATAATAAGCCAAAGGTGTGTGCATGAGGAGTGACCATGTAAAAGTGTGGGGTGAGGATGTGTGTAAAAACTTAGGGGAAAAAAACAAGACTGAGAGACTGAGAGAGTCTGTGTATAGAATCAAAACTCACATAGCATTGCACAAACAGCATTGTGTGTATGTGATCCAATGAGTCTGTTGATTAAGCCAGTGAAAGCGTGCAAGACACAAAGAGAAAACTGATGCGTGCCTAGAACAGACGATAACAAAGCAACACTGAATTATTAAACAGTCGACAGAGTCATCTTGAAATGTGTCCTTGTTAAGAGACTTTATAGCAGCAGTGACAATCCAGTTGTCAGTGGAAGAGGGAATCACTAAAAACGCTGCCAACAAACAACAAAAGTCACTTAGAATACTCTCTAAGTCACAAATTTAGCAGCAGTATCATCTCAGCAATAAATGCACCAAGTGTTGCTCCTTGTACACACAAGGACGCCAGAAGCCACGGTGCAAAGCAAGCAAATTCAGAGAGTGTAGATAAAGCCATTTTGGAGGTCAGAAGCATTTTGGGACTTTAGCTTGATGTTAACGTCAAGACATGCATTTTGAAAATGAAGGCGACTATGATTTGTACAGCAGGTAAATGGTTGTAATAGAGCCAAATGGATCAGTATTCACACACTTTTTCAATATAGGCTAATCATGATACTCTTGAAATTGGTGTACACTATTTGCAATGCAAAATGGTGGCTTTGTAATGACAAAGAAGGACTGCATCTGACTTTGACTGCTCTACAATCCTAAGGCAGACCAGCTGAACACCAGACCAGTCTCATTCCTAACTCGTCAAATGCAGACACTTGGTTAGTGGCTAGTTGGTGTCAGACACCCACACACAGAGGCAACCTGTAGTGGCGATATAGGACATGATGGGTGGTTGACGCTCCAGACAACTACTATAGTCAACCCGAATCCATACTCCAGTAGCTGTTGAACAAGCCTTCTTTCATTTCTTCTTGGAACATGGTGTTATGTAGCATCATACAGCATGCATGTAGCTACTTGGAAAGCAGATAGGCAAGGTCTCCAGGTGAGAGAGGGATTGGAAATGGGAAGTACTGGCCAGGACTGAGATTTGAAATAAAGAAAAGTGAGATCCACAAGCTCACCACATTGGACACTGGAGCTGGGGTCGATACCTTTAAGGTACTGAGTACTGATACCTTTAGGGTATCAACCAAAATAACCTAGTATCAAGCAATATTAGAACTTCTCCAGTCAAATGGTACCTGCTTTTGATCCTTTTTTCACCCACATGAAGAAAAAATGACTATTTATATGGTTTTGCTCACAGCCAATCACTGCAACCCTTTTATAATTTAATGCAACGCGTGATTGGGCCACCCATACACAATTGGATTGGCTACAACCCATACAGTCTGTGGTGAATTTGAGCTTTGTGTATATGACAAAGTTGGCAGTTTAGCCTGCCCAGGTGCCACCCAAATGTTTGAAAGTATAGCTACATTACATTACCTGTGGTGACTGGTTGCATTTTACACCACTGAATGCTTTCACTCACATGATGGATATCGAAATTTGTAGAAAAAAAAGGTATCACTGTTTGAGTTCTGGTTTTGGTACTGGTATTGTGATATTTTAAACAATACCCAGCCCCATTGGGTGCAGACGGAGATGGTAAACACTGAACTTTCCTAATAAAATACATTTGAAAATAAGAAAACCAAAGCACGATCCAAGTCCAAAGCCTTACATCACAAACCAACCTTAGCCTGACCCAGAAAAAACAAGGACTTTAGCAGGACCCTTGAGGTTCGGGCAGGTAGCAGAATTTTCTTGTGTACCATGCCAGATTACAGCTGAGGAAGTAATGAATGACCAAAATGCATTCTGGGTAAGATGCAGTCCTTCAGCACGCATGCTTTTCACATTTGGAATGACACTTAAGATGGCAGTTTGGTTACCCTTGAGGGTAAATCAACCGGGGCATGCAGCACTTTTAGAAATTCTTTCATTGAGGACACTGTCACCTGCAATTAGTCAATAATGTCAAGTGATCTATTTATATCTGGGTGTGTCATTACCTCCCAGCGTATCGCCTTCCACCACAGTTTGTTAGCTTCTCCATCTGGTGCGTCATTAAATAAACAGACCTTGCAGTGAAAATATTAGCATTTGCTCGCAGCACCATATTCAACAGCAGCTCGACAGCCATTATGAAAACACCAAATTAAGTGGTGTTTGTATTGTACTGGTACTCTGAGTGTCCCATCAGAATGAGCTTGTCTTTGTTCTCATGTAAAGCAAAACAGATTTTATCCTCATTTGTATCAAATAGCTTCTAATGCATGCACCCTGTCAGGGATTATTCCTGCAATTTATCCAACTGTTAAATGGCTGTCAACTGCCCTACTGTCCTCCTCTCTACCAGGATAGCAGCACTTGACCTATCTGATGTGGCCTCAACCCTGGCCCAAAACAAAGAGATGCACGAAGAGGAGCATGCGATAGCCATGTCCGACCTCCCTCCGAGCTCCGCAGAGGAGTCGGCCAACACTGGACCAGGACCAGACTCCTCACAAGACCTCAGGACTTCCATTCTCTAGAGGTCTAACTGTTTTTATCTGTTCCTAACTGTATCTCAATAAAACTCAAAAAGCCACTCTTCATCCCTACTCCCAAATTACTCACACTACCCAATGAATTACCCTAAATTCTTCAACCCAACACAGACTGCCTTGGACTCTGACTGTAATAACCAGAGGTGTGGGTTTGACTCATTCAGACGACTCAATTCACAAATTTGATGACTTTAAACTGGACTTGACAAAATCAAAAAAGGCTTGAAACTTGACATGGACTTTAACACCAATGACTCCTGACTTAACTTTGACTTTGACTTAAAACTACTTGATATCTTCTCCCAAGCCCGAAGATGAAGAAGTGTTTTACTTAGAAGTGTGCCAGGAATCAATTCATTTCCCTTCATTTGCTGATCCAAACTAAAATCAACGCTTTTCATTCCCAGCAAGTCGACACTTCATTCCCCAGATCCACTTTGTTTGAAAAATCCAACAGCATCAAATCAAGTTGCAGGAGAGAACAAGGAAGAACTAACATTGGGTGCCAGTTGGAAAAAAATATCAAAGATAATTTGTTTACTTACAAAAACTATGCAGTAGTAAATAATACTGAATAGCAGTATGCATTGCAGGTCAAACATTACAAACAAAGACAAAACAACTTCCAACTTTGTTCAACATTTTAAGTTGCACAAAGAACAGTAAGTTAAGGCTAACATTAACATAGTCAGCAAGCTAATGCCTAGCTAACACCAACTTAACAGTTAAATAACTTAACAACAAATAAAGCATTTATTAATTTTGTAAATTTAATATTGGCATTACATTTGTTGAAAAGTGCATTATAACTTGTTTAGGACACAAAACCAAAAGTTTAGGACTTCGAGACTTACTTGTGACTTGGAAAACAATGACTTGGTCCCACCTCTGGTGATAACTACTGTATATGTAACACACATGTATTTGGTGTTTATTGTATGTCCGTCTGTGTGTGTAAATTGAAAAAAAGAAGAAGAAGAAAAAAAAGATACTGTCATACGTTTGATGTGTGTGAGCGTGTGGAAGTCAGGGTGTGCATGCGCAAACTTGTGGGAATGAGTGAACAGGAAGTGTGTGTTTTAAAATACTGTGTGTGTGTGTGTGTGTGTGTAAATGTGACAAAAGTGATATGAATCTAGTTTGATGTCTGTAAGCTCTTTAGCATACAATGAAATTGTTAGGAAATGTTTTTCATACTGACCACCACTGTTGAAAATGTTATAAAAGGTACAGTGGTTACAACCAATTTTCCTGTTTTATGTGTAATTCACAAAGTGTTTGAGCGGCACCATAGACCACCATTTCTGCAAAGTCTCATTAAAATGTACAACACTAGCCAACATGACAAAATGTCCATTATTGACTTGATTTGATTTTTATTCGACATAATTTCTGACCTTTGTATCATCATTTGTGATTTGAGCAAATTAAAATGATAATGTTGAATATTTCCTTCTTGCCTCCCAGTATGGACTTCTCTGTATTCTGCAGGGCACAGTTTGAAATTTTTGATTACTTGAGCACACAAATTAAGTAAATTGAAGGAACAAATGAGTAATTTGTGCCCACAAATTATTAGAAATTCTTCTCCAGACACCTGACACACACACACACACACACACACACACATACACACACACACAGATAACAAACCATATCCAAGTGACTGAATTTACAAAATAATGACTTCAATATGAATTTTATCTCACAGTTGAGTCTTTTATTGTGCGAGTGACCACACAGACTGGCGTCATTTGGGTTATGATCACAAGGCATATGAATGAGTGTTTGAAAAAAAGCAGCTGAACCCTCAAGTGTATCCATGTGTACTGTGTGTGTGTGTGTGCGCTTACACAAGCCCCAGAGAGCTCTGGTCATGCGCTCAATAGCTATTTAAGCCAGGAGAGGGAAATGGGCCGACTCTTGGGGGGCTTCAGTTCTGCAGACAGAGAGGAGCAGCATGCACAGTCAGAGGTAGGGGAAACACATTCCGCTGATGCTTTTTCACATAATGAACTGTAGAATATAATAAGTCTTGAAAATTACAGTGTGAATGATTGCTTCAGTTCCATTTAAAAAGCAGATATGAGACTAATGCACAATTAAGCTACTGGCAAAATTAAAAAATGAAAACCAAGTTTCATTTCAGATGATGGCTATAAGACAGATTGCCACATAACAGCCCATGTTGCACTGGCTGAGCATTATGGTTGAGCAATGCATCCAGTCATTCATAATGTACAGTATCTCTGCAAAAAGCGCAACACGTAAAACCCTTTTTTTTCCCCCCAAGTTTTTTTTTCTTAAATTTGTAACTTTTCTTCAATGGTTGTTATCACTGTTTTGTTGAAAAATAATTGCTGCTGCCAAACTATTAGTCACTCCTTCATTCATTCCTAATCAACAAGCTTCAAAAGACAAGCAAATCTAACTACATAAAAAAGGTTGAAGCAAATCATCTCTTGCCGTCTGTTGTTGAAAGCATTTCTGAACTTGTAAGAGTTGAAAGCTAATGGCTTTGTGAATTATGAATAATGACTCGCACTGCCTGCAGGGGCGTGTAAGAAGTGAAGTTTTGGAATAATGTTAAGACAATTGGCTTTAACAAGAGAACACAAACCGAGTGAGTTGTTCTTGAGCTTAATTGAAGTGCATGTCTGCAGAGTATTGAATTTTTTTGTCTTCATCTTACCAAAATGTATGCTGGGAAAGGCCCCTTACAACCCTCAACATGATAAGTGGTTTAGAAAAAGACGGATGGATGGATGTGAAGCAACAATGTAAAATCTCTCTAGTCTCTTTGTGTTTCTAAAATTCCTAACCTACTTTTTACCTTATTCTCCCTTCTTACCCACCACATGTACCCAAAATATATCTTTATCCTCTCTGAATTTTGGCAGCATGTGGAGAGCGGGTGTCTTGGTGGTGACCATGTGTGCCACCCTAACACTGGCCCAGTTTCCCCGGGTGTGTGTCACCACTGTGGGGCTACAGAGTGGTCAGTGCTGCCCGTCCCCCACAGGGGCAGCAGGGGATGAGTGTGGCTCCAGCATGGGAAGGGGGCAGTGTGTGTCCATTGCAGCAGACAACCGGCGCCATGGACCCCAGTACCCTTATGCTGGGCGTGATGACAGAGAGAGGTGGCCGCTGAGATTTTTCAACCGCACTTGCCAGTGTAATGGGAATTTCAGTGGCTACGACTGTGGGCGATGTCGACACGGGCTGACTGGACCGAACTGTGATCAGAGAATCTCTGTGGGTAAGGGAATGGATGCAGTCTAAACTCAGCATTGGCGACCTAAAAGTTCTGTCTCTGACTGTACACTTTAAGATCTCAGTGGGCTTCAAAGACGGAGAAAAAGACATCAGTTCATGGAATGAGGGCAGCATTTATTGTTAGGGAAAGGCAATGTCTGTGTTAATTTTTAATGGCATTTTTCTCTCCTCCTCTCTCGCTATGTTCCTCCCACACCTCACCATCCCCTTGTTCTCTCTATTCCTGCCCTCCTGTCTTCCTCCACCCCATTAACCTCGCTCCAGTAAGGAGGAATATCATGCAGATGAGTGCAGCTGAGAAGCTGGCATTTGTGAATGCTTTGGACAGAGCTAAGAGGACCGTCCACCCTGACCTGGTCATCTGTACACGACGGTATATACATAAGGATATATATCACACTACTCCAACTGTTCTCTGTGGACTTGATTATGTTAAACTGATGCTAAGCATATCTAAAAATGTATTTAATTAAGTAATTTCAAAGGAAGAATGATCTTTATTCAGCCAGTCTTTGGTCTTGTATCAAGACTTTAGAACAGACAGCCCAGCTTTGCCCAAAGACCTGCAGGCTCATTCTAGCTGCATCTGATAGTTGAAAGCTCAGTAATATAGCTATGGTGCACCCGTGCTGTGTTTTGAACATTATCAGTAAAATCATAAAATTTCTTATGGCAGCTTTCTGTTTAAGCTGCAGGTGGAAGTGCAAATTATCAGTTTAGGCAGGAGTAAAGGGATTTATAATCTTCTAAGTAACAGTACATAAATCTGTGAATAACCTCCTTCCAAGTCAGTTGAGGATTATAGTAGATTAATTTTTTGAAGCAATTCTCAGCTGCAGGTAGAAGAACCCTTTTAACCTCCTAATAAAAAAATTAAATTTCTCCTGTATTAATGGGCACACCCAGGATCTCAGCTACAAGCCTCATATTTGAAGCCAAGTACTCCCTCGGCAGCTACACGTGAAAATGAAATGTACATGCAGTGTCGACCAGTTTGTAGCTCAACTGAAGGGATATATTCTCACATATCAAATCAAGCAGTATGTTTTCTGTGCTGAAAAATGAGAGGATAAACAGACTGTCTTAGAGCAATGTGGAGGAGAAAACACAAGGTGACATTTACCCTGCTGCTCCCCTCATCTGTAGGTACCAGGAGGTGTTTGGGCCCGATGGCAACATCCCGCAGTTTGAGAACATCACCATTTACAACTACTTTGTTTGGAGCCACTATTACTCTGTCAGTAAAACATACCTGGGGCCGGGCCAGGCCAGCTTTGGAGGCGTAGACTTCTCCCACGAGGGCCCCGGCTTTGTCACCTGGCACCGTTTTCATCTGCTGCAACTGGAGAGAGACATGCAGGTGAGAAGAGGGATGGGAGGGAGGGAGAGAGAAAGACGGGGGTGTAGTGACAAGAAAAAGGGATAGGAAAGGTAGCTTTTAGGCTGAGGAAGTGATGAAGGAAGTGAGGATGGGAGAAGGGATCATAAGAGGAGGAAGGAAAGAGTGTGGGGATTTGAAGAGATGGAGACAGAGCAGATAGCTATCCTGGAGGAGAGAGGGGGAGCGGGGGGAGGGGGACAGACAGAGGCAAAAGACACAGAGGTGGAAAATGGTAAGAAAATAAAGAAAGGTGAAAAAAACGAGGCATTGAAAGTGAAAATACAATGGAATACAATATTATACTGCAGCAACTCTTGATACAATAAGAATAGTGTGGGAAAAAAAAGTTATTCCATCTATGCAGGACATGCTGGGCAACCCCACCTTTGCTCTGCCCTACTGGAACTTCGCCATCGGAGGCAGCCAGTGCGACATCTGCACCGATGACCTGCTTGGAGCCAGGAGCTCCTTCGACATGAACTCCATCAGCTCCAACTCCATCTTCTCCCAGTGGAGGGTTATCTGTGAGAGTGTAGAAGACTACGATACTATGGGCACTGTCTGCAACAGTAAGGCCAGTCGCAGAACACACACACACACACACACACACACACACACACTATACCGCACTGTGCAGGAGAGTGGTGTTGATATACAGCATAGTCTCAGCTGCATCAGAAAAGAGGGCAAAGAGCTCATAAAGAGAGCATGTAGAACATAAGCTGCTATAAATAATGCCTCACAGCTGTTGTGCCGCATTTGATATTGCTCGCTATTACTAACAGTTTGTTTGAAACTACTCGACTTGTTAAACAACTTCTTCTGCATGCATCCAAAGTACTGCACACTGGATTTTGTAATTCTTTTTTTTCCCGTCTCACTGAGCCTAATTTCTCTATAGCAGACATCAGAACGCACAGTTTTTCAAGTGTTAATTCCCACTGGGTCAATCGGTTTAGACTAGAATAAGGCAACTCTGTGTAACACTGTAATAAGGTAGACTTTACGTGATCAGATTTGCGGAGATTGGATCTCATTCCACGCTGGCACCAGATTACAAATCACTACTTTTGCCTTAGTTTTCCAATACAACTTATTCATACAATATTTTTTTATCCCGTATTATGGAATAATAGAAGAATGTCAATCCTCTTTTAGCGTAGGCCTAGTCCCCTACTACAAACACATTAAAGGGGAGGGTGGTGGTGGGGTCTCTTTTTGAACAATTGCACATGTATAAAGAAAAAATCTTGTAACAGGTAGAACATGTGAGTGGCCAACGTGTCAGTGATCTGTCTCATTAATCCCCTTAGAGAGTCATGACAGGCCTGGTATTTCCTGCGTCAACAAGCAACGTCTCCTTAAATGGGTTAGGGGGGGTTGCCTCATTTGTGCATGTGCTTGTTGAAGACAGGAATCTAGCAGTCTACTGGTTCCTTTGATCTGAGGGAATAATCTTCAAACAGACAGACAACTCAGTTATGTATCCTTCTGTTTATGTGCTTGTGTGTATGTGTGTGTGTGTGGGAGAGAGAGAACAAAAAAGAAAGGAAGAAAGAGATCATGCATGCGAGAAGGGGAAGAAAAAACAAAAACAACTTGTGTTCAGTCACAGAGCTCCCACTCACTACTGTTGACTTTTAGTGAATAATTAAAAAAGAAAACTGCCTTCCTGTCA